TATATTATAAGGTAGTCGTGGACAAAAGTTTATTTTTAGCTTTATTCTAACACAATAAGAAATAGACGTATATAACCCACTTGGGTTATAGGTAGGGTTACCATACGTCCGGATTTCGTTCGGACAGTCCGGATTTGACAAATTTGTCCGGTTTTTGTCCGGATCTGAGAAATGTCCGGATCTGATGAATAAAAATAGAAAAAGTGGCAAAATCGGGATATTTTACCCTTCGCCACTCCATAGGTTGGTCACACTACACTCACTCTTTTAAAAGTAAGCTATGCCCCTATGCCTATATTCAAGTCAGTCTCTGAATGTCAGTATCTCAGACCGAACGCAGTCTATTTTTTGTTAGTTTGTGTAATTAGTGTTTAAAGTGTAATTTTAGCGTGTAAGCGTAGTTATAACTTTGCAAAATGCCTAAGCGCAAATGTGGTTTTACTGACAAACTAAAAGAAGATTACAAGTTTTTAAGACAGTGCCAGAACAGTAATGATCGCGTGAGATGTGTGACTTATAACTCTGAATTTTCTGTGGAGTATCGAGGACGGTACGACATTGAAAATCACTTGCGGAGTGAGAGACACAAGAAGGCAAATCAAGCGGCGTCATCGGCAACTATTAAGAATTTTTTTAAAAACACTGATGTCACAGATGCTGAGGTACAATGTGCGGCTAAAGAAGCAACTTTTGCTTACCACACAGCAATGCACGGTCTTAGTTTCAAAACATCTGATTGTACTTCCAAACTTATTAAAAAGCTATTTGAGCCTAAATTTTCAGGAGTTCGGACCAAGACTGAAGCAATAATTGTAAATGTAATATCACCTTACATACTTGAAAAACTACAAAAAGATTTAAAGAATGCAAATTTTCTTACCCTGACAATTGACAGTTCAAACAGAAAAGAGGTTAAATTGACTCCTGTGTGCGTTCGTTATTTTAACCAAAACGAAGGCGTAAACGTGAAACTGCTATTTTTTGACGAACTACCTGGTGAAACCTCTGATATTTTAGTAGAACACGTTTTGAAATGTATACAAAAGTTCTCTATTGATTCAAAAGTTGTGTGTCTATGTGCTGATAACACCAATACCAACTTTGGTGGCGTGGAAAGGCAAGGAAATGTTTTTCGAAAACTACAAAAGAGACTATCAAGACCAATTATGGGCATTGGATGCTGTGCTCATATTTTGCACAACACAGTACAGACTGCTTGTGCTGCTCTGCCCGTTGACGTTGAGGCGATTGTTGTCAAAGTGTACAAATTCTTTTATCAGTACACTGTCAGAGTGACTGCTTTAAAAGAGTTTTGTGACACAGCAGATATTGAATACAAAAGAATCCTTTCACATGGAAATACTAGATTTTTAAGCTTGATGCCTGCGATTGAAAGGATACTAAGTATGTATAAACCTTTGAAATCATACTTCTTAACAATTGAAAACTGCTCTGCAATATTGCATGCGTTCTTTCGAGATCCAGTGAATGAACTTTTTTTAACATTTGTACATGGGAGCTTGCAAATGTTTCAAATGTGTATCCTTAAAGTTGAGTCTGATTTCATCACTGCAACAGAGGCTTCTCAAGTGTACAAAGAATTAGTTGTAAAACTGGAAGAAAGGAAGTCAGCTGACTTTATACCGTTTGCAGCAAAGGTTAACAGATGAGGAAAGCGTTGATAACAACTTTCTTAACAGTGTTGAAGGTTTTTACCAAGCTGCGATAAAATACTTGAAGCTTTGGGAAAGCAGCTTTGACAAGGCTAACCACTTTATATGGTTAACGCTGAAAACTTACCCCACCTGGGATGAGATGGAAGACAGCGCTTTAACTGTAGCCAGCGTTATATCGGACTCCATCAATGTAGATGCACTATTTGATGAGCGCTCCTCACTAATCCCAATTGTAAACAGTCTAAAACCAGAATGGGATTCTCTGCCAAAGGAAGACACCCCCAAAACCTGTGAGAAATGGAAACAAATATTCCAAGCATTTGAGATGTTTCCTTCATGAACATTTTTAAAGTTGTAGAGTTCGCCATGTGTTTGCCTGGAACTTCAGCTCCAGCCGAGCGTATTTTTTCAATGATGGGGTCAGTGTGGACGGCTGAAAGAGGGAGACTGTCTCTGTCAGTTGTAAGAGACCTACTTTACATTAAAGCAAATTCTGTTATGTCGTGCACAGAATTTCATGACCAAATTAAAAATGACAAGCCATTTCTGAAGAAAGTCAGATCATCCGATAAATATGAAGCAAGAAGAGAAAAGTGTATCCCTGGACCCAGCAGCATAAATGAATTATAAAAGCAAAAGAAAAAATTTGAAATTTTCAGAAAAAATATGTAAACACTATTTTATGTTGTATAATATTGTATGTAAGAATATACAGGGTGTCTCACGTAACTGGTTCGTTAAAACTTTTTTAGGTTCCAGTATTCGTACAGTTTTGAAATTTTGATAGTATGGGTTGTTCAGTCGGAACTTTCGATCTAAAATATTTTCAAGATGGCTGCCACTTCCGGTCTACCGGAAGTAGACCATAACTTCGTTATTTTAAACAGAATGCTATAGTTTTTATTGTACCTTTTAATTGTACGTAAAAAAATATGTTGACTTTCATAAAAGTTATAGGTACCTAACCTTTTTCGTTTTCGAGTTATTTTGATTTTAAGGTTTTTTTGGCAAATTTCACCATGCTCTTTAAAACCCTATATCCCAGCTAACATTCATTCAAAAAAGCTCTAAATTGGCACGTTTACTCTTCAGATGATCTCAAATAGATTTTCATATATTGTATCAGAGTATCTTATACAGGGTGGTCAAAAATTGAATTACCGTGTCCTCATATTTAATGGGGAGAAAGTCGAAAATTTTAAATGGAACGCCCTATATTTTGTTAGCCTACACGAAAGGGAATTTAGTTCTCTACAATTTATCTATAAACATTCCTATACCTATTTATTGTAGTTTCTGTCATATTCGTAAATTTATCAAAACAGGCAGGACATGTAGGAAACCGTTTGTATATTTATTTGTTTAATTTATTTCTATTATTATTTGTACTATTAACTACGATTGAAAATCTTTTAGTTTACTAGCTAGTTAATGACAAAAATTAGATTTGAATAAAAATATAAATTAATAATATAAATTTGTTATTAAATTGAGTTTGGAAATGCAATAAAATACGACAAAATATTTATTTCGTTGTCTTCATCACTGGTGACCGGAAATATGCGATTTCTTTTGGCCTCGATATATCCAGAACTAAGAAATTATCAATTTTTTGAAATGTTTCCTTGTGATGGACGTTAGGTTTGTTAGGCATCTCTCATTAAGTGTTCGACACGTCCTGTCCAAAAGTTTATTACATTCGCCATGAATACAAAATAAATTTTAAATATCGGCGTTAGAATAATTTACCATGATGTTCAATGACTTACACCCGTCGTCAAATGTTAACAATAATACAAACATGGACCAAAAACTGTCAAAATTCCATAACTTTCTAATAAAAAAACCTGCATTTTGTGCATGTTTTAATAAATTTCGCAATATGAGGCAAACTACAATAAATAGGTATGGGAATGTTTATAAATAATGTGTAGAGAATTAAATTCTCTTTCTGATAGGCTTAAAAAATATGGGGCGTTCCATTTAAAATTTTCGACTTTCTCGCCATTGAATATGGAGAAAGAGTAATTCAATTGTTGACCACCCTGTATAAGATACTCCGATACAACAAATGACAATCTATTTGACAACATCTGAAGAGTAATCGTGTAAACGTAGATCTTTTTTGAATGAACGTTGGCTGAGATATGGAGTTTTAAAGAGCATGTTGAAATTTACCAAAAAAAGCTTATAACCAAAATAAGTCGAAAACGAAAAACGCTAGGTACCAATAACTGTTATCAAAGTCAACCTATTTTTTCACGCACAATTAAACAGTATAATAAAAACTACAGCATTTCATTTAAAATAGCGAAGTTATGGTCTACTTCCGGTAGACCGGAAGTGGCGCCCATCTTGAAAATATTTTAGATCGAAAGTTCTGAATGAACAACCCATGCTACCAAAAAATCAAATATCTACGAATAGTGGAACCTGAAAAAGTTCTAACGAACCAGTTACATGAGACACCCTGTATAACAAAAGAACTACTACTTACTATAATAGTTGTGTAATTTATTTAACACACACACACACCCATCAGGTCTATGTCCGGATCTAGGGTAAACAAATTATGGTAACCCTAGTTATAGGGGAAAAACAAAAGACGATAGCGCTTTGAGGTTTTTGGCATTAGCAGTTTCTCGAAAAACGAGATCATGACATGTAAGCTACTTTTTTTCTAACTCTTATAATTTCGGAGATAGCCTATTCGGACAGCGAATTTGAACCACCTGTACTTTTATTTTGTCACAATGTTATATTTCTTTAAAGTTTCGTTATATCTTATCCAGTCAATCCTAGCAGATAGTAATTATATCTACGTGGCGTGAAGTCTAATAGTCTTCGTCCTGTTTGGTGTCTGCAGCTCAGTAAAGACTGGGAAGTGATCGCTGCCCAATGTATCATGCAGTATGATATGTAGCCAATCTAGCGAGGTCGCTGGAGGCAAGTAACAGATCGAGTATATTTTGGTTATTATCAGCAAGTGAGAAAAGTGTTGGTCGACCATCATTCAAGACTTGCAGGCTTCTCTCTGTATCAATTTGTGCTCTTCCTCTTTGGTTGTCAGATTCGTAGCCCCACATCTTGTGTTGACTGTTAAAGTCCCCAGTAATAATGTAAAAATCAACCTCATGCCGTCGATACCATTTCAATAACTAATCAACACTGTCAACTTAAGAAAACTAAAATTTGTAATACCATGGCAGAAAATGGGTTAAAATGATGTTCAACTCAGCTAATAGTACTAATAACATGACACTAACAACAAACTATAGTATAGGTTACTAACAAGTCAATAAAAATTTCAAATTATATTTTAAGCTACCATACTTTACCCATCTATTGAATCATTAGAACAAAATAAATCATCGGGCGAGATTAAAAACATTCAAAACGACCCCAACACAAATCAAGGTGAACTTAAACCGGACGAATCTAAAACCTCGGGAATTGAATCGAAAAAAAGTTACTCAAGCGAACCAAACGCGACAGAAAGTAAATCCGTAATGAATTTAATTGATTTATTGGATGATAATACATCCTCTGCCCCAAACACAGCTTTAAATCTTTATGGGGGTAAACGCATTAATTTTAAGAGAAACATTTGGCGTTGATTTAATTTTGTTTTTTTTTATTAGCTTTTCCGTTAATGCCCACCAATGTTTCATCAATTAATCAGATTCATTTAACCCAAACAACTCAAAATAAAAGTTCTGATTTAAAGTCATCAAGTTCAAACGAAAAGAATCATTTAACTGCTTGGGGTACGAATGAGAAAGCTTTACAATCGTGGAATACGGTTGTAAGTGTCCCATCAACTAAGTTACCTATTGAAATGGATTTTGAAATTTATAAGAAAATAGATGATGCTTCGCGTCCGAGAATCCAACACTCTGATAAAACCACAAATACTCACGCCGATGATTTTCGTTTCGCTTTAAACTGTAAAGAAGCTGATGGAGTTTCGGTAATAAACACCAAAAATCGTTCGATTAACCCAAGTGGTATTGCAATTGTACAAAGTGTACCAAGAAAAAGAATCACCGTTGATATAGGTTGTATGACCATAGAGGAAGAGGTCGCAACAATCCCAGAAAACAATAAAACCCAAGTCGAGCAACAATTAAAAGACTTCTTTCCACATATTCCAATCGAATATATGTTGGAGATATACGACAAATGCAAACAAGATATAAATTGGACGATGGAGTTGTTATTAGAGACTCCGTATGATCCAAAATTAGAAGTTGAGAAAAAAAAAGTAATTGTTCAAAATGAACTTCCAACAAATAATTTTAATGATGCGGCTAAATCTTCCGAAACAGTATCGAAAAAGGATCAATTAAAACAAGAAAAAATTGAATTAAAAAAGCAATTCGAAGAAAACGTTACGTTTAAAAAAGAACATTACTCAGACTTTCTTTGGGGATTAAAAAATCAACGTCAAGGAACCTCTCAAACATCAAAAACTCCCCCAATAACTCCTCAAATTTCGACGGATGAAACACAAGATGTTGATGATGATTTCGATGAAGAAGTTGTTCAAATAAATTTGGGTCGCGAATTGGTGGAACAACTCGAAAAACAGCTTGGGAATGAAGCGTTTATTAATAAAAATTTAGCCACGAATGTACAAATGCCTATTTCGTTGGTAAAACAAATTCACGCACTTTATTTGCAATCGGTTTGTCAACAAATTGAAGAACAAAATTTGTTGGTTAATAAAGACGAGGAATATGCGCATAAATTGAATCATGAACAACAAGAGGAGGCTAATGGCCCGAATTTATCCGTGATTATGGACGAGCAATTAGCTATGTTTTGCCAAAAAAAAGAAAATGAACAATATAAAACGATGGCGCCACAAACATTAGCGATGATTATGAAAAAGAAAAAATTGTATGAATCGTTTCCAACTGTTAATAATGCCATGATCGATAAATTATTAGAGAGTCATAATTATAATTATGATGAGGTTGTTGATACTTTAATAGCTAACGTTAATCATAAATACATCGTTTCGGATGGAAATGTTCGAGAAGATCCAATTTCAGATGCATTGGTTCGAGATATGGTTCAAAATAAAACGATTGTTGAACAAGTAAAACAATTTTTGTTTTAATAATTAATTAATTGATTTAATTTTTTTTTGTTTAGATTAAAAGTGATGAAGATTACAATAACGCCCAACAATATCGTGACGATGCGATTTCTTACGCACAAAAAGCTCAACATTTACAAAACGTCGCGCAGCAATATCATCGTAAAGGAATGGGACAAGTGGCGGTTTTCTACTCGAAATTAGCGGAAGATTTGCGTCGTAAGCGCGATCTTTGCGATCAAAAAGCGACGTATTTTTACCTTGTCGAAAATTTTAAAAGTAAAGACACGCTCGATCTTCACTATTTAAAAGTTACCGAAGCTTTGATTTCTTTGGACATTTATATCGATAAATGCGTCTCAAAATTGGTTAAACCTACCGATTATTTTATTATTACCGGGCAAGGAAATCGAAGTGTTGGTGGAATATCAAAATTAAGACCGGCCGTTATTGGTACATTAAAAAAAAGGAATATTCGGTAAGTAAAAGATTTTAATCAAGAATGGAATTAAAACTAAATTTCATTTTTAGATTTACTTTTATCAACGATGGTATGTTGAAGATTAAGTTACACAAAAATGTTGTTATGACCAATGATTTAAAAAAATAATCTATTTCCTTATTTTTATCTTCATAATAATTAAGTATCATGTTCTAATTTTGCCATATGTTTTATCATGTATTAGTTTCAACCAAGATAAAGAATAATCGTAACTATTAAATTTCTTTTAAAAACATTTCTTTATATTTGGGGTTTTATAAAGATTTATATCAAAATGTTATAGTTTTTGATAAAGGTTAATGTTTAAGGAAAAGAAATAAAATTAGTTTTGTAAAAACAAATTTGGTGGTTTTTTTATTTCATTTTCTTAAGAAAACAAGTTCTTTGAATCAACAATATTACATACAATTAGTTTTAATATTAAAAAATTAATAAATAACATGTTAAAAATTACAGTCTTAGGCGTGGGTTTATTTGTTTTTAAGATGATTTTGGTGAGTTCATGCGCATTTTAAATCTACGAAGAAATTCTTTGGCCTGTTTATCTCCTTGTCTATATTCCAAAGCTTTTAAAGCATCCGTATCTAAAAACATTAATAATATATTATTATATATGATTATAAATTTTTTAATGATTATAAATCCAAATACATGAAAAATTACATTATTATATAATTATAGTATAATATATTATAATATGCACTGAGTAGAATACTATACTTTGTCCACGAATACTGTAGAAATTTATTCCATAAATTAATTTTTTTAAATAAATTTTTGAATAAAGTTTAAACGTCAATGTGACACAATTTCAATGCTACCAACTGTAACCAACTTTACAATAATTTGTCAAAATTAAATATCAATTTGATGAAACGTCGTNCACGACTACTGTAGAAATTTATTCCATAAATTAATTTTTTTAAATAAATTTTTGAATAAAGTTTAAACGTCAATGTGACACAATTTCAATGCTACCAACTGTAACCAACTTTACAATAATTTGTCAAAATTAAATATCAATTTGATGAAACGTCGTTTTTTTTTTACAAAAATTAATTTATGCTTAAATCATACGAAAAAAGGAATTTGTTTATGATTTTTTAATGTTATACCTTTAGAAAGTCCTAAAACAATTAAATTGAAGTTTTTTGAAATTTTGACTTTCAAATGATTATTATTAGTCTGTCAAATTAATTACCCGTGAATAATAGCTTATTATATGTGGGTAGAATACTATACTTTGTCCATGACTACGATTGAAATTGATTATATAAATTTATTTTTTTAAATTTCTTTAAAAGTTTAAACGTCAATGTGACACAAATTCAATGTTACCAAGTGTAACCAACTTCACAACAATTTGTCAAAATTAAATGTCAATTTTATGAAATGTCATGTTTTTTTAAAATTAATTAATTTATGCTTAAATCATACGAAAAAAGGAATCTGTTTACGTTTTTTGAAATTTTGACGTTTCAAATAATTATTATTAGTCTGCATATTGATTACCCGTGAATAATAGCTCATTATATGTGAGTAGAATACTATACTTTGTCCATGACTACGATTGAAATTGATTCAATTTGTCAAAATTAAATGTTAATTTTATGAAATGTCATGCTTTGTTTTTACAAAAATTAATTAATTTATGCTTAAATCATAGGAAAACAGGAATTTGTTTACGATTTTTTAATGTCAAACCTTTAGAAAGTCCTAAAACAATTAAACTGACGTTTTTTGAAATTTTGACGTTTTAAATAATTATTATTAGTCTGTCAAGTTGATTACCCGTGAATAATAGCTCATTATATGTATGTGAGTAGAATACTATACTTTGTCCACGACTACTGTTGAAATTGATTCCATAAATTAATTTTTTTAAATACATTTTTGAGTAAAGTTTAAATGTCAATGTGACACAAATTTAATGTCACCAACTGTAACCAACTTCACAACAATTTGTCAAAATTAAATGTGAATTTTATGAAACGTCATGCTTTGTTTTTACAAAAATTAATTAATTTATGCTTAAATCATACGAAAACAGGAATTTGTTTACGATTTTTTAATGTCAAACCTTTAGAAAGTCCTAAAACAATTAAATTGACGTTTTTTGGAATTTTGACGTTTCAAATAATTATTATAAGTCTGTCAAGTTGATTACCCGTGAATAATAGCTCATTATATTTGAGTAGAATACTATACTTTGTCCATGACTACGATTGAAATTGATTCTATAAATTTATTTTTTTTAATTTCTTTAAAAGTTTAAACGTCAATGTGACACAAATTCAATGTCACCAACTGTAACCAACTTCACAACAATTTGTCAAAATTAAATGTCAATTTTATGAAACGTCATGCTTTTTTTTTACAAAAATTAATTAATTTATGCTTAAATCGTACGAAAAAAGGAATTTGTTTATGTTTTTTTAATGTTATACCTTTAGAAAGTCCTAAACCAATTAAATTGACGTTTTTTGAAATTTTGACGTTTCTAATAATTATTATTAGTCTCTCCAATGGATTATCCGTCAATAATAGCTCATTATATGTGAGTAGAATACTATACTTTGTCCACGACTACTGTTGAAATTGATTCCATAAATTATTTTTTTTAAATACATTTTTTAATAAAGTATAAGCGTCAATGTGACACAAATTCAATGTCACCAACTGTAACCAACTTCACAGCAATTTGTCAAAATTAAATGTCAATTTTGTGAAACGTCATGCTTTTTTCTTACAAAAATTAATTAATTTATGTTTAAATCGTACGAAAAAAGGAATTTGTTTATGACTTTTTAATGTCAAACCTTTAGAAAGTTCTAAAACAATTAAATTGACGTTTTTTGGAATTTTGACGTTTCAAATAATTATTATAAGTCTGTCAAGTTGATTACCCGTGAATAATAGCTCATTATATGTGAGTAGAATACTATACTTTGTCCATGACTACGATTGAAATTGATTCTATAAATTTATTTTTTTAATTTCTTTAAAAGTTTAAACGTCAATGTGACACAAATTCAATGTTACCAACTGTAACCAACTTCACAACAATTTATCAAAATTAAACGTCAATTTTATGAAACGTCATGTTTTTTTTACAAAAATTAATTAATTTATGTTTAAATCGTACGAAAAAAGGAATTTGTTTACGTTTTTTTTAATGTCAAACCTTTAGAAAGTCCTAAAACAATTAAATTGACGTTTTTTGAAATTTTGACGTTTCAAATGATTATTATTAGTCTGCCAAGTTGATTACCCGTGAATAATAGCTCATTATATTTGAGTAGAATGCTATACTTTGTCCATGACTACGATTGAAATTGATTCTATAAATTTATTTTTTCAAATTTCTTTAAAAGCTTAAACGTCAATGTGCCACAAATTCAATGTTACCAAGTGTAACCAACTTCACAACAATTTGTCAAAATTAAATGTCAATTTTATGAAATGTCATGTTTTTTTTTTAATTAATTAATTTATGCTTAAATCATACGAAAAAAGGAATTTGTTTACGATTTTTTAATGTCAAACCTTTAGAAAGTCTTAAAACAATTAAATTGACGTTTTTTGAAATTTTGACGTTTCAAATAATTATTATTAGTCTGCCAAATTGATTACCCGTGAATAATAGCTCATTATATGTGAGTAGAATACTATACTTTGTCCAGAACTACGATTGAAATTGATTCTATAAATTTATTTTTTTAAATTTCTTTAAAAGTTTAAACGTCAATGTGGCACAAATTCAATGTTACCAAGTGTAACCAACTTCACAACAATTTGTCAAAATTAAATGTTAATTTTATGAAACGTCATGTTTTTTTTACGAACATTAATTTATGCATAAATCATACGAAAAAAGGAATTTGTTTACGATTTTTTAATGTCAAACCTTTAGAAAGTCCTAAAACAATTAAATTGACGTTTTTTGAAATTTTGACGTTTCAAATATTTATTATTAGTCTGTCAAATTGATTACCCGTAAATAATGATTATTCACCGCTATTATTTACTCCCTGAAAAATGACTACCATTTCGTTTTAGAAAACTCATTGATAAGGTAGGTATATATTATAAGATAGTCGTGGACAAAACCTTTTATTAACATTTTATATTATTGACGTGGATTTGGCTTATTTTAATGTTAATATTTTTGTAAGAATTTGAGGTCCAAAAACAAATAAGTAAGCCTTAACTTTTACAGCAACTCTTTGATTTTAAAAATCAGGTTTTAGTATAACAAGTTTAAGTACTTTTTATTCTTAAAAACAACTTTTTACTTGTAATTACCAGCTTGACAATACTTTAGCAACTAAACACTTAAAACTTACCTAAAGTTTTTGGTCTATGCAAATACAAAACTAATTGTTGCGAATTAACACCATTACTTGGAATATCTTTAAAATGCAGAAAAGCTTCTCCAATATACTGATTGTTGTAACCTAGCATATCGTAATCTTTACAACTAAATAAAATCAAACCGTTTTCCAAATTTCTTTGATCGGTAGTCAATTTCCTATAACATCATATTATTATGAATTAAAGAAAAAAAAAAGTTTTAGTTACACTTACAGCGTAAAGTGTTCGTCGTAAAGTGGAAATAAAGTTTTATGTTGAGTTTGGGTTTTTGGTTTTGTTACATTCGTGAATTTATCTTCAGGTAAAAGATGAATTCTTACAAAAGAATCTGTTGATCCTATTCATGAAATAAAATTATAAATAATAATTAAACAATAACAACACAATTACCATTAGAATCCATAGCCACTAAGTTCTTTCCATTTAAAACTTCAATTTTTAACTCGCAATTATCAAATTTACACTTAATCGTTAACTGCCCCAAATTCGAATCTTTTTTTTCTTGTTCTTTCCATAAATCTAAATGAACTTGATGGATTAATTCGGACGTTTCTAAACCATTTAAGTACAATAAATGTTCGGTTTTTTTTAATTGTTCGCATTCTTCTTCGGTGTCGTTTAATTTAAAAGAATGTTTCATTAGTTTTAACGTTTCATGTAAATTTGAGAAGAACGATGGCGGTCGTCGTTTCTAAAATTAATTAATTAATTAATTTGATTTCTTTTTTAATTAATTTTACCTCCAAGTTGGATTGTATTAAATCGGTTAAGATATTATTTAAATAAATAAAAATAATATCTAAAATGCGGCTAAAATTTTCTTCGTTTAATTGATCGTGAAGTGTGTGCAAATTATCATCTAAATATCTCATTACTTTATCGATACTATTACAATCTTGTTGGAATAATTCTGCTCCTTCTATGAGAAGTCGCTTCATTGATGGCGTCATCTAAATTATTAATAATTAATAATAATTTAATTTAATAACAAATAAATTTAACCTTTTCCGCAACGGTTTCAAGTAACTCAATAATTTTATTTTTAACGGTATCAACTGCATTAACAATAACGGTGTCTAAAGTGTGTTGGCATCTTTGCGCTTCTAAGGGGCTTTTAATGTCACCTAATTTCTCGATTATTTTCTCCATCTCCATTTCTTTTGTGAACGGTATTAAATGTTGCAAAACGTAATCGATATTGTTGATGGCAAGGCACCATTCGTTGGTTACTTGAAATCGTTGCTCGTAAACGTCTTTTATATCGCCCATTCCTTCGACGGCATCCGAAACTCTATCCGCGTAATAAACGCAACATCGGCAAATATCATCAATGATTTTCGCGATGAACGTGTAAGAACCTTCGACGTCGGGCCAATTTAATTCCTGCCAAAAAACTTTTATTTGATAGAAAATGCTTAATGAATCAATAGCCGATGAGCTTATTTTCATTTCTGCATCGACCGGTACTAATTTATCCAAACTAACGGCTTTATCGATGCGTTGGAGAGCTTTGTAAAGCGCGATATCGAGCCATTGCGCTACGGCGCTGTAAAACCAGACGTAAAAGTTTCTTATTTCGAAGGTTTCGTGTTCCGTTGGACAAAGATCTGTCCCCAAACTTAAAAAAAAAATATTTTAGGTGATTTATAAAAAGACATACAAAGAATTCAAATAAAATTATTGAAATATGATTTAAATGTTGTATACAAACCAGGTAAATGTTTATTAATCGCGAATGCTATTAGAGCATGTAAAAGGACAGAAAAAATAACTGTACCTGATTTAAATGATTTAGTTCACACTATAAATATGTCTATATGGTTTCAGAAAAAATTAAAAAATTACATGTAACACATTTTGGAATGACAAAAACCATCGCATAAGCTAAAACATTATTTTATTGGGAAGGAATGATAAAAGATATAAAAGAATAAATAGCCAAATGTAGAATGTGTGTGAAGTTTCAGAACAAAAAACCTAAAGAACCTATGATTATAACTGAACAACCAACATTATCTTTTGAAAAGATAGGTGTTTGAATATAGTAATAACTAGTATTTGGTATTTTGATATTGATTGACGAAGTATTAGAAATGGATAGAGTTAGTTAAATTAAAGCAAAAGAATTCGGAAGAATTAATCACTATATTTTCAATACACGGAGTTCCACAAATAACGATAGCCGACAATATGCCTTTCAGCTCTAAAAAATTTAAAGATTTTAGGTATTGTATGGAATTTTATAATTAAAATTTCCAATCCATATCACCCTAAAAGTAATTGACCAGCAGAAAAGGCAATTGGTATGTGTCAAAAATGTTAAAAAAAGCAATGGAAGGAGATGTTTTAATGGAATATCATAGCACACCAGTTTTAGGTACAACATTGCCACCTGCTGAATTTTTATTTAGTAGAAGAATAAAAACTAAATTACCTATAAGAAATGAACTATTAAGACCAAAAATTATAATGAATTTTACAAAAACTTTAAACAAAAAAGCACAAGTAAATAAAAGCTACTATAACAGAAATGCTAAACTTAACAAAACAATCTTCAAAAAGGTTATCAAATTGAATAATACTCCTAGATCAATATACAGTGTGTCCCAGGATAGATGTTACAAGAGGTATAATCACTTAAAAATTTTTGAATTTTATTTTTAGACTGAGGAATTAAGCCCTGCTTGGTATGGAGAAAATTTTACGTATATTTTCATATTTTGAAAATCGACTCGGCCTTGATAGTGAAGCGAAAACTATTTTTAGTCCAGGTAAAGTAAGCTTTTTGTTCATGGTACGGCAAAATATCATTAAGGAAAGTTGTTCAGAATGAAAAATTATGGCACTATGCAAAATTTCAGGAAGATCATTGTAACAATCCCAATACGATATATAAAATCTCTTGTTCCAGGTTCGTCTAGTTTTCTTCTCTTCGCTTGTAATTCATCATCACATTCATTTACGCTGTTATCACTTTCGATTATTAATTAAAGTATCCTCTTTTTAATGCAACAAGCCGTTTTGAAAAATCACATTCAATTCTTGAGAAATAAATTTTTGAAGTAATTGACAATTTTTTCGAATTTGCAATTTTCGCCGATTAAGTTTTAAAAATTCGTATAAAATCGATTTCTTGGAATATGAGTATGAAAATTTCCGAAAATGTTAATAAAAGTGTCCTCTTTCCAATGAACCAACACGTTTTGAAAAACAACTTTTCATTTTTGAGAAAACAATATTTGAAGTTTTAATAAAATTTTCGATGTTGCAATTTTCATCGATAACTTTCCAAATTGCTATAAAATTCATTTTTGAAAGGATCCTTGTGGAAATATCGCCAATTATTAATTAAAGTATCCTCTTCTTAGAGTTGCTTCGTTAGTTAAATCAGCATCAAAAAAAATCATTTTGTATCTTGGATCCAAATAAGTTGACATATCTTATCAGCTTTCTTATTAATTTCATTTTTATTCAAATATCGCAATAATGTGGCAATGTAGGGTATCACTTTAGAAATGTACCAGAAATTATAACCATAATGGCCGGATAGATATGCCGACATGATGTTTATTGAATTATACCTATTTTTTTTTTAATCCCGATTTTTTTTCATATACAGCATACTTCATAGAACAAGAATGTGGATGAATAGCTAACTATTTTTATAAAATCTAGTTTCCAAGTGACTTTGAAGTTGAACGTTGCGATTATGCAACATTGGGACCTAGCACCTACCAGTAGGTATACATATGAATTGTATTCGTACACTTGTCTCAAGTTGTTTTTGTGACTGCAAATAGTTGGTTAGGGTGCATTCGGTCGTTTATTAATTAAATAAAAATTAAAAATTGCTATCTATTATAAAAAGAAAGAATATAATTTACAGGTGTATCTGAATGACGTCCCCAAACTTCAGGGGGTGATTCTTTAGGCAATTTTAAGGATACTTTGATATATGAACTATGAGCGACTTGCGCTCCCCTAAGGAGTTAGACCCCTCCAAAAATGGCGGAAAATTTTGGTTTAATTTTTTTTTCTCAAAAACCATAAACGTTAGGAAAACGAAATTTGGGGAATATGTTTAACTCATAGTAGGGCACGTTTTCATCCTATTTGTACTTTCAACCTATCCTTCTAAACTACTAAACGTAACCACCCCCTTTACATTTTTGCTAAAATTTTTTTATGCAGAG